AGTTTCTCATTGACTTAGTCAACATGAGCTTATGGGGACATTCATTCTTTCTACACTTTAAGCCTTGATAGCATGAGATTTGGTATTTTTATTGTTCTACGAGATGCGATTTGATTTATATTTACATAGATGCAGAAATTATATCACGAATCTTCTATATCAAATAAGAATCAATCAATAGAAATGTGGAAGCTGAAGATTTTCATGTCCCTAACAACAAACTCTAACGAGCTAAACGATCGATCTGCTGATTAGAAATGCTGGTTTAAGCAAACTGGTGAGCCTCGAACACAGCGGCTTACGATATGAAGGTAAACCGCAAGGCAAACAGTGATTATCACCGACGTTTTGGCACCTATGTATCCAACCACTTGACGTCCTCTCTCTGTAACTTCTTCATGAATCACATCGAAACTTCTCCTGAAGCTTTGTGATGTTTTCAAGATTACGAATTCAACGATTGATCTCATAGTCTCGAGTGTCACTCTTCCCGTAACATCAAACATGAACTTTCTATTGCTCGGCACTGCTAAGGTAGTCGTAAGCGCCTCTGCCCATCCGTTCGCCAAATCTTTTCTATTCGAGGAAGACTTCCTCTCGGCTTCTTCGCCTGTATCCGAAGACTTTGAAGATGTGAAGACTTCGTGCGATGTTCTCATGAATGTCTCAAGAGCTCCATTACATACAGAAACAAGAACATCTCGAGCGCTATCTCGATGCTTTGGATTCGTCAAACCAGAGAATATCTGATCATAAGTGTTGATCCCAACCGTTTTCTCGATATACACTGATACCGCGGAGCTAGTGAATCTCTCAATGCAATCAGCTAAAAGCTCTCTACACTTATCATCACAGAGCAAACTCATCCATCTAGGTAATGTTGTTTCTGAAGAACCAACATTGCTACTCTCAATCTCGTAAAATCCGAGAACAAGATTCTTCGCAAAACTACCAACAACAACGGAAACGAAACCAGTTCCAGCTTCTGAGAAAACTCTCTCAACTACACTTGAATTCGATCCAATTCCTGATTCTACTTCCAAATTTTTAGATTCCTGATCCAAGTTATACCCACGGAAAACCCCAATCGTTACGGACTCAGAAACCCTAGCTAGAGAATCAGCGAACTCTTTCGATTTGGTGATCTTCGCGAGCTGCTTCAAACTGTTGGGGATTTCGTCGGAATCGGATTCGAGAAACTCTTTCAAGTCTCGAGAAACTATAGCTATAGTTTCCGCGGAATCGATGACCATTTCGGCGAAGGAAACAATGCCTCCGAATAGCTTCATAAGACGCTTCCTCTTCCTCGCGATGTATGGAGAATTGTAAACTCTGTAGACTCCATACCCCGAAACACCCAAAACCGCCGTTAGAATCAGCCATTTCCTTCTTCTCTGTGGTGAAATGGAACCTATCTCTCTCAAACGAACAAGGGCCATCAGAAACTAGAGCAAATTGAAACTGCAAAACGCCACGCAA